GGCGGCCCCCCTCCCAATTCGGTTTGGGCTTGGGGGGGCGCCCCCTCCCTTGCTCCTTTCCCCTCCTTTCCACTAAGGCCCAATAAGGCCCATATACCTCCCGGGGTGTTCTGATAACCTCCCGGTGATCCGGTATTGTCCCAATCTTACCCGGAACCTTTCTGGTGTCCAAATATAGTCGTCCAATATATCGATCTTTATGTCTCGACCATTTCGAGACTCCTCGTCAAGTCCGTGATCACATCCGGGACTCCGAACAACCTTCGGTACATCAAAATATATAAAATCATAATGAAACTGTCATCGTAACGTTAAGCATGCGGACCCTACGGGTTCGAGAACAATGTAGACATGACCGAGACACGTCTCCAGTCAATAACCAATAGCGGAACCTGGATGCTCATATTGGCTCCTACATATTCTACGAAGATCTTTATCGGCCAGACCGCATAACAACATACGTTGTTCCCTTTGTCATCAGTATGTTACTTGCCCGAGATTCGATCGTCGGTATCTCAATACCTAATTCAATCTCGTTACCGGCAAGTCTCTTTACTCATTCCGTAATACATCATCTTGCAACTAACTTGTTAGTTGCATTGCTTGCAAGGCTTTAAGTGATGTGTATTACCGAGAGGGCTCAGAGATACCTCTCCGACAATCGGAGCGACAAATCCTAATCTCGAAATACGCCAACCCAACATGTACCTTTGGAGACACTTGTAGAGCACCTTTATAATCACCCAGTTACGTTGTGACGTTTGGTAGCACACAAAGTGTTCCTTCGGTAAACGGGAGTTGCATAATCTCATAGTCATAGGAACATGTATAAGTCATGAAGAAAGCAATAGCAACATACTAAACGATCGGGTGCTAAGCTAATGGAATGGGTCATGTCAATCACATCATTCTCCTAATGATGTGATCCCGTTAATCAAATGACAACTCATGTCTATGGTTAGGAAGCATAACCATCTTCAATTAACGAACTAGTCAAGTACAGGCATACTAGTGACACTTTGTTTGTCTATGTATTCACACAAGCATTACGTTTCCGGTTGATACAATTCTAGCATGAATAATAAACATTTATCATGATATAAGGAAATAAATAATAACTTTATTATTGCCTCTGGGGCATATTTCCTTCAATTGGTGCCCTGAGTTTCAGTGAGGCCCAATAAGAATTGACTATATGGCAGGTTGCTAGCAGGATGCTGAGTGGCAGGGGCTGGCAGTAGTTGCTCTGTCATATCTTGCATTTGATTTGCACCAAGCAACTGTGAAGCACTTGAAGCATCAATTTGTGGTGGCTGCTGAATGTTAGCTACAATGTCAAGCAGAGAAATTTGCTCTTGCTGCACAACCTCTTTTGCCTGTTGCACCAAGGGAAGAAACTCCAGTTGCATAGGCTGCATCATAGCTTCAAGTGACATATTGAGATCAAATGGAAATTGCATCACATCAAGCTGATGAGCTGGTGGATCTGGTGGAGCTAGCAGATTTCGAAACAGCTGTAGATTGACAGCACCCTGAACTGATCCTACAGACTCAACACTGTTGGAATGAATGCCAAGAAATAGAGTGAGACCACTATGCTCCATCTCAACTGCATGAGAAGCACCATCCTGCTGCTCATGGACCAACAGATAATTTAGCTCTAAAAAAGCTTCTCCTTGAATGACATTGTTGTTGTTCGGGGGCATTGCCCAGTAATCCCAGCCTTGTTCCTCTGCATCATCTGCATCTTCTTGCAATCAGTAGATGTGTCTACTGATTGCGTAGTAGGTGCTTATCTAGATCATAATTAGTATGTCGTTAATTTTGTTAATACAATGTTCATGATTATTTTCTGGATTAAATTAATCAAAACATTGCCTATATACTCAGCACTTCTTGAAAGAAAAAAAAACATGCTAATTTGCCATCCAAAAGCAGGACAGAGGAATCCCGTCCAGTGGAGAGATAGAGAGGGCGCCAAGTGGAACCCGCGCGCGTCCAGTGGAAAGGGATAGCGAGCGAAGGGAAGCCATGAATGCCACGCAGCCTCCACACTGCCCTTACCTCCTCCACTCCACTAGGCAGCAAAGGAAAAGTGCGATGCTTCCAGCACCAACGGTCCAACCACCGACTCTTATCCCCAGGCACCCCCACCCCTCCTCCCACAGTGCTTTCCCGCGTGCATTTCATCGCTCTCGATCAGCAGCTCTTGGCAGATCGTGCGTCGATCAGCTGTTGCCTCCACGGGCTAGGCCGTAAAGAAGAATCCGAGAGAGAGCTGCATCAATGGCACTGCAGATGCAGGCGCAGGCCCCGTCGCTGGCGCGCGCGCCGGCGGGGAGCCCCGCGCGGCTCCGGTCGGCGTTCTGCGCGCCGCCGCTGCTTGTGCGGGTCCGGCTGCCAGCGCCGTGCAGGGCGACGTCCGCGGCGGCGGCGCGGATCACGATGCGGTTCGGCCGCGTTGAGACGAAGCAGGCCTACATCTGCCGGGACTGCGGGTGGGTGAGCCTGCCCGCGCGTTGCTACGGTGAAGTTGACTGCTCCTGATGCGCTCTGCACTTTTGCGAATGTTGTAGGTACATATACAAGGACAAGACTCCGTTTGAGAAGCTGTCCGATGACTACTACTGCCCTGGTGAGAAAATTTTGTGTAACCACACTTTACCGGATGTCAGGGCTTTTTCTGATTCACAGGATTATTAAAACGCTGGAATATAGAGAAAAAAAAGGCATGATTGCACTATGATGTCCTCTTGAATCCTATAGAATCTGAAAATTACAGGAATTTGAATGGAAGAGTGCTAGCATAGCAAAAACAAAGGAATTCTTCCAAGAGGCTTGAGGGGATGAAAATTTTCCTTCGAAACATAATACAAATGAATTCTAAGGAATAATTCCTAAGGATTCCTGAATCCAAATCATCCATCAAAAATACCTATGAATCAAAGGAGCCGTTAGGCACATAAATTCCATGAGTGTTTTCGTTGCACCCATGGTAGACTCTTACCCCACTTGCCATTGCATTTGCCACGAGGGTGGCTGCTAATTTAGCCATCACAAAAATTGTGGCTTGACTCTAAAAAAAAACTGTGACTTTAGATGCCCTCGTCTCCAACGCCCAAAGCGCCTTCATTAAAAAGAGAAACATTCATGACAACTTCATGTATGTGCGGAACTTTGCTCGACGCCTTCACAAATGCAAGACCCCCGCCCTTCTTTCCAAGCTGGACATAAGAAAAGCCTTCGACTTTGTCAGATGGGAATTCATCCTCCACCTCTTGCAACTAAAGGGCTTCCCTTGCAAATTCCGTGATTGGATTGCCGCTCTACTTTGCACCTCTTCCTCACGTTTCCTGCTCAATGGTCTGCCCGGACCTCCCATCAAACATGGTCGCGGTTTTTGGCAAGGGGACTCGATCTCGCCATTGCTATTCGTCCTCGCAATTGATCCTCTTCACCAAATACTTGACTTGGCAACGAGGAAGGGCCTCCTTCATAAGATTCGGGGACGAGGTGCTATGATGAGAACCTCCTTATACGCGGATGACGCGGCCATTTTTATGGCCCCTATCAAGAGTGACATCGACAACCTCTCCACCATTTTGAAGGGCTTCGGTGATGTCACGGGTCTATGCACCAACTTTCACAAAAGCTCGGTTGTGCCCATCCGGTGCTCCAACGTTGACTTGGATCATGTCCTCAGTGGCGTACCGGTGTCCAGAGCCACCTTCCTGATGAAATACCTGGGACTCCCACTCTCGGTCTGGCAGCTCAAGTTTGTAGATTTCCAATACCTTGAGGACAAGGCGGCCGACAAACTTGTCACCTAGGACGGACAAAACACCACCACCATCGGGCGCACGACACTTGTCAAATCAGCCATTGCCTCCCAGGCAGTGTATGCCATCACACCCCTCATCGTGCCACCGCGCTCTCTTCACAACATCAACAAATTGGAGAGGGCCTTTCTCTGGTCTGGTTCAGATAAGACGACTGGTGCCAAATGTAAAGTGAATTGGAAGGTGGTCTGTCGCCCCAAGGAGTACGGAGGCCTTGGGGTTCTAGACACTGACAAGTTTGCTCGGGCCTTACGTCTTAGATGGCCTTGGTATGAATGGAAGGCGCCGGACAAGCTTTGGGTGGGGCTTGGGAACCCCTGCACGGAGGACGACATGGACTTCTTCTATGCCTCAACGACCACCATTTTGGGCAATGGAGCCAAAACACCTTTTTGGGACTCCCCATGGCTTCTTGGGCGGAAACCGAAGGACATTGCTCCTTTAATATATGATGCCTCCACGCGTAAGAATTGGAAAGTGCATGAAGCCCTCGATGGAAATGCTTGGATTCTTAAGATCAGCCACAACATCGTCGCTTCCGTTGCCCACATCCGTCAATTCTTGACGTTATGGATGTTGGTGCATGATCTACACCTGGACACACAAGCTGACGATGACATTATCTGGAAACATGCCAATAAAGGGATCTACTCGGCGGCCACTGCATACAAGGCACAATTCCTCGGCTTGATGCTCTCGCCTATGGACTTCATGATATGGAAGGCTTGGGCCCCTCCCAAGATCAAATTCTTTGCTTGGTTGACTATCCAAGACCGGATTTGGACTGCCGACAGATTAGAGCGGCGCGGATGGGAAAACTGTGGACTCTGCCCGCTCTGCAGGACTGAAGGCGAGACGGGCGCGCACCTCTTCTTCAAATGCCGCTACACTATTCGGCTATGGAACTCGGTCATCCTTGAATTCGGTCTTGCTCACATGGACACCTCTTCTTAACACTTGGATGGATCCGTTTTGGAATGGTGGGCAAGCGAACCAGCTTGCAAAACCTAGATCGACGAGCCTTGGCCTCCCTTACAATGTTGGTTTCTTGGACAATCGGAACGAGCGTAACGCTCGGGTCTTCCATCGCAAGAGTGCACCACCCCCGGTCCTCCTTCGGACTATCATCGATGACGCCAAGCTTTGGGTTCTCGCGGGTGCTAAAAAACTAGGGTCCATTATTGTACACGAGTAGTTGCCATGCCGTGTGTGTGGTCACTTGTAACACCCTAAAACTCTTCTCTCTTATTTAATGAATGAGGCAAATCTTTTGCCTCCGTTTCGAAAAAAAAGTGAGATAGAGTGTGGAAAGCAAGCTAACCCGTTGCCCTTGTTAATCCTCATTTTTCTCGCTCTTACATGGTTTGTTGACACATTTTCGGTCAGCCCCTATTTTTTAGCCATGTACTCTATAGCTGCGTCAATTAATTTGGATCAAAGGCAGTACTGATTTTTTGCGAAGAAATTTTAAATATAGTCAACCTGTGATGCTGGGGTTCTAACTTAGCTACTTGGACAACTGTCTTAAATGTTGCCCAGAGCAGAAATTGAATACTCTTTTCTTTACCTTTTGCCTTTCTTTTATATGTACATGTTGCATGTTAATATTTACGAAAATACCGTTGAATGATTGTTCTACAGTTCTTGGCATAAAAAGAAGTTGTCATTCATTTTCATATTCCAACCACTGAACTCCATTGTTGATGCAGTCTGTGCCGCTCCTAAGAGAAGATTCAGGCCCTACGAACCACCAGTGGCCAAGAACGCCAACGCCACTGATGCCCGGAAGGCGAGGAAGGAGCAGCTCAAAAAGGACGAGACTGTGGGGTAAGTAGTTGAACCCTACAAGAAGAAAAGCAAAATAATCAATTAGCTTGACTTCTCCTTCATACGTGTCGATTCAACGTTGTGATGTTAGCTACAAAGAGTAGAGACTGATTGATGACGAACTTTGGAAAATTATTTTGCTCTCTTGCAGGAAAGCTTTGCCTATTGGTATCGCGGTCGGGATCGTTGCATTGGCGGCCCTGTTCTTCTACCTGAACAGTGTCTACTAGACGAAGACAAAAAAGAAAGAAAGTAAAAAAGGGAATGCTTCATGTGATGGAAAGAACTAGGACTGTTTTACGGTTCTTTTTGCCTCTGTATACATGGGTGATGGGTGGTCATATAGAGTATGTTTGGTTGGTCCAAAACTAGACATACTAAAATCTTGGATGGCATACTATAATATTTTGACTTCTGTTCGGTTGTTCATTGTGAAAAGTGTCTGAAGGTTAGATGGCTTTAGTCTCCAATATATTAATTCATGGATACATGTCAGTTGTCCATTTGTGAGGTGATGATACATGTAGCAGTTTAGTCCCACATGGGAAAGTGGAGAAAAGTTTGCACAAACATCTTCCACATACCATTGTAGTTTGAGAAGACAGTGGTGCCAATAATCTGCTAATTGCCTGATAAATACTTCCTCTGTAAACAAATATAAGAGCGTTCAGATCCTCATTTTAGTGATCTCGCTCTGATATTTCTTTACGGAAGGAGTACTTGTGAAAGCCAAATCACGGTCTTAACTTTCAACCCATTGCGCAATGAGACGGTACTAACGATGGGCATCTCGTCTCGTGTACACATGCCGCTGGGATAGCTAGTTGATCAGAGAAAGGGAAAACAGGTGCGCATCTAAAATGAAAAGTTGCGCCGTAACGCTAAGTACCGGCACATCCGCAGCTGCTCATTGCCATTCTGAGATTAGTGCGACACTGTTTCGTACAAAAAGCAAGTCATTATGTTTAGGAAATACACACACTAACAGAAAATCCACGTACCACTCGGGTCGCCTCCCCCGCGGGGCGACTCGGGAGGGCTCCGCCGCCGCCGCCGCCGCCTAGTCCCTCCAGCGCCCTTCTCCCCCTCCTCCGCTGCCGATGGTCGGCGCCGGGCAAAGCCCGTACGTGCAACGGCGGCGGCGGAGGGTCTCTCTTCCCGTTTTCGGATCCACGGCGGTACGGGCGCCCTAATCCACGGGGTGCGGCCCTCTCGACGGTGTGGCGGATCCCGGAGGCGGCGGACTCGCGGCGGTGTACGGGTGCCCAGATCCATGGGTGTAGGATTCCCGGCAGCGTGCGGGCTCCTGGCGGCGGCGAGATCGGTCGACAGCGGGCTTGGGCGATGGCGTCGGCCGCGTGGTGCCGGATCTCGTTGCTCGCGGCGGATCTCGCCACTCCAGCCTTCGTGGAGGAACCTGGACCAGGGGCGGCGTCCCCGTTAGGCATGGCGACGACGTCTCGGCTGGCGACGTTCCCGGGGGATGGATGGAGGACGTCTTGACCACGTGGGCGGTGAGTCGCCAGTGGATCTCCTCCGCGCTGCAGTCTCTCTCCCGCTGCAGTTGGTGGCCTCGGTGCATTCACGGGGGCTGGTAGAGGTGACATCGGACCGGAGGAAACTCTGGATGACTCGTTCATCCTGACGGTGGCGACGACCAGGGTCGCTGTTCTCCTACTTGCAGGCGCCGTCGAGGTCCCTGCCCTCCACCCCGACCCCATGCCCGGGTAAAAACCCTAAATCTCCTTAGATTGGGCGGCGGCGGCGGCACTATGTGTGTCGTGCCCTTGTTGGAGGCGCCGCCTGGGCGACTGGGTGCTCGGTTTGAGGAACTGCAGGCGTAGGGGATGGGACCAGTTGCAGCAGGTGGTGTTCCGTGTCGGAGGAGCGGCGTGGCATCTGGCACGTCGACAACGGCGGGTCTCAGCGGCATGGAGCAGCGGGGTCTCGCCGGTGGGCGTGTGATGAAGGACGAGCGCATGATGGTGGCGTTGTCTGGCGTCGTGGTGGCGTCGATGGCAGCTAGACCGACAAGGTAGATGCAGCAGTACAACACTGAAGATGGATTGGTGGCAGGTGGCTGCGGCGGCCTCAGACCCGGCAGACGTCCTGGTTGAGGAATGCGTCGGACTGGTGGGTGCCCATACCCGGCAGGCGTCCTGATTGGGACCTCAGGTCTTAAATGTTAGGTTTGACTGTGAGGTCTGATTGGTATTAGACCCAGACTATCAGCATCCCTACATCAACTGGATAGGAGTAGCGACTAATGTTGCCTAGACGGTGGCTATAGTCTTACTGTTGTATGACTTTGTATAGTCTTGTGTGAATAATTAATAAAGCGACTGCATGCATCGATTTAAAAAAAAGGAAATACACAACAATACAAAAAGAAGGGGGTTCGCAACAACAGCCTTTTTTCAAATGAGATAGCAGAGAGGCGCACTGCATGTGCGTATTGCCTGTCCAACTAAAGACTTGCTTTTAATTTTTCTCATATCATTTTCAATGACTCATAGAACCAATATTTCATTTTAATACTTTATATATATTTGAACTCATGTCGCAAAGACCTTAAAAACAAGACCAAATTTTGATACATTTTAAATGGGTTTAAAATTCATGAAACATATTTCACTGTTTTGAAATCTTTTGAATACAATGATTTTAATCAGTTTCACAAGTTGACATTTCAGTTTCTTTTCTTCTTTCAATTTCAACAACTACATTTCACTTTGCACTAGCTTATTTCACAAAAATCACATGTATTTCAATTGCACATTTTTAAAATAACATATTTCACCATTTGAAATAAATGGTTACACATTTCAAAATAATCAATTTCACATGTTGACATTACATTTCACTTTTCACTGGCTTGTTTTATAAAAATCATATGTATTTCAATTGCACATTTTTGTGAAAACATATTTCACTCTTTTGAAATAAACTGTTACACATATTTTAAAAATCAATTTCACATGTTGACATTTGTAACATCCCAAATTTTCAATTTGGAATGTTATGCATTAGATCATCATTGCATATCATATCTTATTGCATTTTGGTTTGATCCTATAAATTCTACGCAACTCAAGGACCCGTGGAGAGAGTTGGGAATTTCGTTATTTTCATATTTGAGTTTTCTCAAATTTTGAAAAGAAGATCGTTTGATTTTAATTATTTTCTCTTCGAATATTTATTTTATGAAAATAAAAAGAGAGGGGATAAAATAACTTCCTCAAAATAAATAAATATTGGAGGTTTAATATTAAAATCAAATAAGATTTCATTTGGAGTTTTTATCGCTATTTTATTTGAATTAGGAAAAATATGCGTTTTTCAAAATTGCATTAGAGGCCCAAATAAATGTTCACCTTGTCCGTTAGTTTTTTAGAGGACGGGGACAATTTGTTTCAGGATTTTTGGAGTCCGTTTAGTATTTCTTTTCTTTGTTCTTCCGAGCGGGATTATTTTAAAAAAAACCAACCGACCTAACTGGGCCGTGTCCGACCTGGACACTAGCCCGGCCGGCCCTTTAAAGCTGCGGAGGCCCGAGCCAGCGCCACCCCGCCTGAAACCCTAGCCCCGCCCGAAACCCTAGCCCCGCCCCACAGCCTCGCCCCCGCCGCCGGAGCTCCGCCGCCCGCGCCGCACCGCAACGCCCCGCCGCCGCCGGTTCCCCTCGCCGCTGACGCCGTTAGCCGCCAGAGCCACCGCCGACCTCGCCGGATCTCGTTGAGGTAGTTCGCCGCCGCTGGTTTTCCTCGGAAAACCGATCGGTTTTTTCGAAACCCTATTTATTTATTTATTTAGATCGGTTTATTTTCTCGGTTTATTTATTTAGCGAACGCCCGTTGTCGGTGTCAAAACCGGCGGATCTCGGGTAGGGGGTCCCGAACTATGCGTCTAAGGAGGATGGTAACAGGAGGCAGGGGACACTATGGTTACCCAGGTTTGGGCCCTCTTGATAGAGGTAAAACCCTATGTCCTGCTTGATTGTTCTTGATGATATGCGTATTACAAGAGTAGATCTACCACGAGATCAGAGAGGCTAAACCCTAGAAGCTAGCCTATGTTATGATTGTATGTTGTCCTACGGACTAAAACCCTCCGGTTTACATAGACACCGGAGGGGGCTAGGGTTACACAAGGTCGGTTACAAAGGAGGAGATATCCATATTCGTATTGCCTAGCTTGCCTTCCACGCCAAGTAGAGTCCCATCCGGACACGGGACGAAGTCTTTAGTCTTGTATCTTAATAGTCCAACAGTCCGGCCAAAGGATATAGTCCGGCTGTCCGGAGACCCCCTAACCCAGGACTCCCTTAGTAGCCCCTGAACCAGACTTCAATGACGATGAGTCCGGCGCGCAGTGTTGTCTTCAGCATTGCAAAGCGGGTTCCTCCTCCGAATACACCATGGAAGAGTTTGAATGCAAGGATAGTGTCCGACCCTGTAAAATAAGTTCCACATACCATCGTAGAGAGAATAATACTTCCATAAATCTAATCCGCTGACATGTTTTGATAGTATAACATCACTTCATGGCCCCATTGTTATTCGAACCGCTTTTCTCAACCAGCTCCGCACATATCGCGAGGCGGTTTTCTCGATACCTCTTGTCAAAGCAGAGATCGTGTTCCCCTTATCACGGGATTCTCATCAATACGGACGTGGGTAACCCAACCGCGCCATCAATTACGGCGCCTGGGGAATAAGCGGTTTTGCCAGGCAAGTGGGGAGACTCATCGCCTCCTCCGCCCTTATAAAAGGGACAAAGATCTACTTTTTTCACCCACGCCTTCTTCCTTCTCGCTTTCCCATTCCCGCACACTCGAGCTCTAGCGCCCAAGCTCGCGTTCCTCTTCTCAAACCACTCCAAGCATGTCTGGAGCAGGAGGCAAGTGGATGCTTTCCTTCGTCACGGAGGAAAACATCAAAAAATTACGGGAGGCCGGATACCTACCTGCGAATATCGCACACCGGCTGCCGAATATGGGGCAGATCGTCCCAACGCCTAAACCCCATGAGAGGGTAGTTTTTCTTTTCCATTTTGTCCGCGGACTGGGATTTCCTCTCCACCCGTTTGTCCGCGGGCTCATGTTCTACTAGGGCTAGATTTCCATGATCTGGCCCCCAACTTTATCCTCAACATCTCGACATTCATCGTCGTGTGCGAGGCCTTCCTCCACATCAGGCCCCACTTCGGCTATGGCTGAAACCCTTCAATG